CTGTTTTCTGTGGCTTACTGACAGTTGGCACAATGGTTTCCCACTCTGCCGACTGCTGGTAGGGTGCGGTACAGTGAGGAATGGGCGAAAGAACGGAGTGAAACGGTCAAAATCCTGCGAAGAAAAAGCCTCCGTTCTCAGTGACTTGAAAATCGATTTCGGACGAGTTTCCCGTAGGCATCTTACCAGTCACCGCTACCGAAGAATACGCGCCTGCCATATTGGTACCCATGTATGCATGCAGCATCACGGCCGTTTCATACCATCCCTTCGCTTCATAATTTGCTTGGCAAATGAATGATTCGAGCGTCAGGAACAGTCGTCCATTGCCCGCTCAGGCGTGGCGGCGTTTGGGACGTAAAGTTGTGGCTTGATAGGGCCCTTATAAGGGCACCTTCCTCGGGGAAACCGCTATGCAGCGCCTGCCAGGGTCGCGGAATTCTATCCTGCCAGGCGTATCAGTCCTACTCGTCTTAGGGATTTATCGTGCCAACATGCCTTGCGATGATAGCTCTCTCTACAGCAATTTCGCCATCTCTACAGGAGTTTACAGGTTTGACCTAATTGAGACCTGTTATCACGAACAAACAAAAGAGACTGGCGAAGAAGCAAAATGTCCCCTCCAGACCGAAGTGCCCAGTTTCGTTCCCAGCTGGGAATAGATAATATGTAATCGATCAGTCATCAGTAACGTCTGCTGGGCTGTGCGTCCCAGTTTTGAAGGGTAGTGGCCAACGAGAACGGGGGGGGAGGCGTAGTCAGAGCCCATCGCAGGCGCCTTTCCACCCATGAACGACCGCCCGCCCTCAGCGATCATGCGCACTGCCTTTAAGTGCTAAACACTAGCATGATTCAGAGCCTCACAGCCAGCAGAGAAAGTTCTCCCCTTGAAGATTATCAGGGACAGAACATGTGCACTGGAGACGCTCGACGACCAGCGATTTCGGCAACGGTTCCGTATGTCACGGCAGACTTTTGCGAAGATCTGCACACAATACGATGACTTGTTGAAACGAAATGTTCGAAATGTGAAGTCGCTGATAAATGCCTCAACTGCGTTCATGATTGGAACAGTGCTGGAAATATTGGCAGGATATGAACTCTCACTGCTTAATCCGTCCGTGGGAGCTCTACGTGCGAAGTTTTTGTCGAAAATTCCGCCGCCGTTCGACGATATACTGGAAGACATGGCGACATTGTTTGGAGGCATGGTTCAGTGGCCAACGGACAGTGAGCGTCGGATCATTGGTGCGAGGTAGGTTGGTTTCATTCCGAACAGGCGATTAATGAGTGGGAAAACTCAATTTTGTCCCCTGTGGGTGACGGGGCGTGTCAAAGAAGGATTCGGCGCGCCGCCAGCCCATTCTCCACCACTTGTTGAGGCAGGTAAGCGACTGATTCGAACCACATGGTACAGTCTTGTCCCTTGCCGAAAGAAGAAAAAGTGAAAGGAAGGGCTGGCGCCGAAACCAAACCCGTTCCTCTCCTGGACACGCCCCATCATCCGCAGCGAACAAGGCACATCGAACGAACGTATCATTGCAATAGCGCACCAATGCTATAGACGAGAACACAGCCATGGACGCTTATTGATCGGCGATGCCTGCTACTACTTTTGAGAGAGTATGAAATAATAGGAGGGTACTAGACGCGATTAGGCAACGTGCAGTCTCTGACTCTCCCATACTCTCTCAAAACCACCGCGGCGGACGCCGATCAATACCCGTTTATGGCTGCGTCCCGTTTGTAGTACTGGAGCGCGGTTATAATAGTAGCGCGTCATTGCGAGTCCTGAACGCTGCCTTACAGGTTTACCCAGGATGCTCTATGGGAAGCTGCAAAATGCCCCCACCAAGCTAGACTATCCAGATCAAAATTGAGAACAACAATCTCTTATACCTTAATTAGCGAATAATCTGGGTGCTGTGTTGTTTTAGAGCCTCATGCTGATCTGGTTTTTTAGGTACAAACTGTTTCAAGACAAACTCTACACCTACCTCCAGCGACGAGATCGTTTTCATGTGCGAACCAACTTTAGTTCCGCAGCTGCAGCAGCGTGCCAATTTTCCGCGAAAATTGCACGGGGACGGGGCTGCAGAGCAGTGATACTCGGTGTTGGCTCGCTCCTCCGCCCGCGCTATCCTCAAGGTGCAGCGTTTGCGCAGATACCAAGGTCCCGCAGCGAAACACATACTCAGCTGTAGAGAACAACCAGAAGTGAGAGGGCGCAGACAAACAGCGCGTTTGGCCATAATTGAGCGTTTGGCCGGCCGTGTGGCAGCGCGACACACTACAAGAGGCCAGAATCCACGGAGATGAGTGTATAGTTTGTCTTTAGGCTTTAAAATTCCCAGTGAGGGAGCTCACAGAGTCATTTGCATGTCATTTTCCAACTACATTTGTTTCCAACATATCCTGTGTTTCAGTTTCGCTAATATGACCGGAATCGACAATATTATTGGCTGCGTAGGATGGACGGCTATAAGGATGGAACCTGCAGAAACTCCGCTGAGAACGTACTGAATTAAATTTGTTTACTGACCTTCATGAGCTTGTCCCTAGACTTTTTTGCGAAGGATCACCCTATTTTAAGAGCAGTCTTTTCTTGATGCTTAAAAAGATTTTAGAGAAATTCTCAACATGCATTTTATTGCCGACCACGACATGCGATTCCGTTGGGTGTTTTCTAAGTGTAGCGACAGTTTAGATCACTTCGGTGGGTCAGCCAAGGAGATCGCTCGATTAGCGCCTTATGGATCTGTTTCAGATTTTCAGTGCTGCTCGTAATTCGTTAGCTGAGCAGTTCAAAAACGGTTTAATGAAAGGCTTCCTCATCGGTGATGATTCTTATTCCAACATGAAACTGCATTTCCTGTTAACGCCGTCGCGCTTACTGAGTCAGAACAATGCAGGTTGGGCATCAGTAAGAAGGTTTTAAAAGGATTTGAACACTCACTTTACAATCAGCTGAGAGGAGGATCCTTTCCACGTACAAGGTGGGCAAGTACAAGGTGGAGTTCGTCTCCTCTATATAAATGTAGTATATAAATGTAGTGTAGCACAGGGATGGAAAGCAGCGGGGTGGTGTCATGAGGGGCGGAACGAGCGCGTTCACGGCTGCGTTTTCTACCAATAGTGGCCGGCTAAAACTGCAACTATTGGTAGTGAGCGGTGCCACGAAAGGTTTTGTGGCTGTAAACCTGTCCATCTCAGCGGGAAGGATTCCACCTTTAATGTTACCGTAGAATGTATCATTAATAGCTTCATTGCACACTAACGGTGCTGAAAGTGAACAGCACTTATTTTAGCGCCAGCCAGAGTCAAAGAATTATCTAGGGCTCATCAGCTTGTAAGGACTGCTATCCAACGGCTGAGAAAACAGTTTGCCATACTGGACAGTACTTTGAAGTGAGTTATAACTTCAGTCACTGTTAAGCAATTTGTAGTAATGTCTGCGTCTAACCGCGGCTCTTTCTAAGCGCTAAATAAAAGTTAAATTGAAGGGCGCTAACTTAGTTGGAGGGGGCCAGGCTTCCAGAGTAGGGAGAAGAGAGAGCAACAGCGATCTCGGTTGTCTGCGCTCCTCCTCTCACAATCAGCAGGTGATATTTCCCTATCTCCAACTTATGGGTTTAGCTTATGGTCATACTTTGCGGCAGCGCTCACCAGCGTTCCGACCCTCCGGCAGCGTCGGCAACTAGGGAAGTATAGATATCGATCAAGTCTGCCAGCGTCTACCAGCGTCCACCAGCGACCAGCAGCGTCTCGAGAGCTAGGGAAGTATAGGTATCGATCTAGCGTCTACCAGCGACCAGTAATGTTCGGAAGTGGAGAGTATGGGCGATAGTAGAGTAGCATACACCTTGTAGAGTATGAGGAGTAGGAGGTTAGCAGACAGCTGGTACCCTCCTATCATCTCATACTCTCTACCAGCTGTCTGCCAACCTCCTACCTCCCCCCACGCTCCACTCCGGACACTACTGATCGCTAGTAGACGCTGGTAAACGCTAGATCGATACCTACACTTTCCCCAGCTCTCGAAACGCTGCTTCGGTGGTGGACACCATTGGTCGCTGGTGTAAAGCCGCAAAGTATGAACGCAGCCTTGGAACAGCGAGAGCGACCAGTGTTGCCGTATGGACCCCTTCCAATTGCTTTAGCGCCAGCGAGAGTGTTTTAACAAATGGATCTTTTCTGGAAAAACTGCTTAACAAGTAATTTAGGATACACACAACCTTGGTCAGCCATGTCGTCGTTTTATGTGCAGCGCTGTACAATCTAACAAAAGCTGAAGGAGAACCGCCTTTCGATGACCGTCGTGATCGTGAAGAAGATCGGTAGGAAAATAGGTCTACCCATTGGATGAATTATGAAAACTACCAAATGAAGCTTTACGTGTTTAAGTTTAATCTCAGTCACTTGCCTTTATTGTTATCCGTATAAATTTTGTTATATGTACGAAGTATTGAATGAAGATCTCTTTTTTGTAGTTGCTGGTGTATATCTACATGTTGCTAGCAATATATTTATCGACTTATTGATTTTTGATTTTTAGCCTTGATAAGAGAAGAAGAATCAAGAAAAAACTATTGTGGTGATATCCGTCACTGAAAAAAAGGGCTTGGGTAGGGGAATAAGCTTGTAGGGGCTTGGACTAATGAAACTGACGTGAGCAGAAAAGTATTCTTATAACCTTTTTTAGCTCTGCTGTTCGCCTCTAAAGGGAAAAACAGGCTAACCGAAGTAATCGGTTTGAGTGAGAGGTTCGGTTATCTTGAGGTTTCCTTCCTGAATGACCAACTTCTATCCCGAACAGTAATGCAGCTTCGTCGCGGGATCCACTGGTCTTGTTGGATACCACAGTTTTCTCTCCTACAAGGCATGTTTTGCCTCGGTCTGGTTTCAGTGATGTACTTTTTGATGACGTCCCATCAACTCTTATTTGGGACTTATCCTTCGTTGCTGTTTAACCTGCGCTACGTAACCCAACCCTATGGAGCGAACATCGCCCTTTCTAGCAGTGCCCAGAACATTAGAGTCTTTAGTTAGGGACCCAACCAACAACCCCGCTTTGGAAATGCCGATCGTCTTGTATCATACGTACATTTAGTCCAGGACGGAAGTTTATTGTGTGTCGTCCAGCAATTTCTGGTATAATTCAGCGATCGTCCTTACTTTCTGCTCCGGATGACCTTACCTTAGTACCCCGGAGTATCATCTAAACCCAGAGTATATCGCTGGAACGGTCTACGAACAACTTAACTCAATTCCTTTGAACGCGTCGAATTTGTGTTTTCCTCTGCGCTCTCTCGTCCGCGTGGCACTCTATGGTCATTGTGACTTGGCACATTCCAGCTTCTCACGGGATCGTCGAATTTTAACAATTGCTAGCGACGGGCACCGATCGATACCCAACCATTTCTTGCCACGCAATCGACCGAGACGTTCGATTGCCGATTTTTCCCGATGGCCAGGTCGATACCTGTACTTACCGCGCGGTCTTTTAAATCGCTGAATTTCCTCAATCGCTCAGTATGAACTGGACCTACATTTATGGAATTGTCAACGAGACTTTCTTCGATAGACTTTTTCTCCGGTTTTTGGACGCGACCCTACACTCCTTTCTACGATCGCTCGATAATTTCTGGAGTGTTTCTGCTGGGTTCGTATCGAAGAATGCGAATGTCGGTGGCAGTGGTTGTGTATAGCGGTTTTTTCTAACATCACGATGAGATGCCCTCATTAGAAGTGTCCTTTTCAGGACACGTCCGTTTTGGGAGTCCTAGCGAGAAGTAATTGGTAAAGGGAGGGGTCGTATATAAGGAAGGAATTTTGAGGTGTGAGGTCGTACTTTGCAGAAATTTTCCTCAACGGAGGACGTGCCCTGATTCTTTTATTCCGACTATAGTCACTAGTGGAAAGTATTGCTTTTGAGGTCCGGAAAGAATCGGTACCCTCGCCGGACCTCAAAAACAGACCTTTTCAGTGCCTGTGTGCGCAAGAGCAGCAGTTCCTCATGCTGGCATCAGACGACCATCTATAAATGTATCTGTTGTCTCTATTACATACATTTCAGTTATAACAAAGTGAAAGCTCAGCTGCAAGAGCCCTGCGCGGGGACGGGGCTATAGAGACGCAGGTGACATGCAGGGAACATAGCTCGTCTCTGTCGTCTGGCACGCTTCCAACACTGCTAGTGTTTGAATTCGATGGCAGACCGGTCACTGAGTTGGTGGAACGTTTCTTGGGTTATTCTCCAAGTTCCTGTTGTTGTAATCTCGCCATGGTTTACTGTGCTTATCTGTGCCCTTCGAGGTTTTTAGGTGGAAATTTTCACTGAACGACCTAACGTTTCGATTTGGTCGTCTTCTTCAGAGGCCTAAACGCGTTTCGAGGTTAGGAAATGAACACTACCTTACTAAGCGCTCAACCAACCCTAGCAGTTCCGATGGCGTGTTCGGAACTCAACGAGAATGTCCTACACAACACGAACAGTGCACTCACCAAGCTTCTCTTTCTTTTTACGGGTTATTTTTCGTATTCATTTCGTACTCATAATTCATTAGTCATTTGTAGTGGGTTGTAATGGTAATCGATAGCGCTGGAATTTGAGGACAGTCGCTTGACCTATCGACTTTCCGAACTTCTTTGAATTATCCGAGTTTTTGCGGGACCATTTTTAGATTTCCAATGAAATTTTTGAAGTTTTTCTCCATCCTCGTGTAAATGTTAATTCCAAATTTTTCCATTTTTCCCTCTTCTACGGAGGCATCTTCTACGAAGGCATCTTATAAATAGATAGAGATACCTGACGTGAGAATTTCTCTTGCTCGCGCCGTTGCAGTGAGTATACCTTATTCACTTTTCTGGAATGGTGCGATCTTATCGTCAATGTTTTCATTTTCTTTTATTTTCTTACATTTATTTTCCATCTTCCAGATGACTACAACGCAATCATTTATTGCGGAACATTCTTTGTTCGAACAGAAGCCTCCGTTAGTCGAAAAGTAGGTGTAAAGTTCAGACATTTTATACTCAGGTATCTTCACTTATGACTTGCCTTTACCATTCTGAACGTTTAGGAATGTCAGTGGTGTATACGATATCCCGTACGCGACATCGTGCGCGAAGTAGCAGAGTATAGTCTCGCTCGCAGGGATGCTGCAGCTTGCCATTAGAGCTGGGTTGGGCGCTGTGTCGGCTCGTTTCCACCTTGCCTTCCAACCGATCGTTGTCTCTTGACTTCGTCTAATTGGTGGGGGAAGGACTGGCGCCGTGCCAAACCCAGCCTCTCTTACACGCCCCATTATCTGGAGAACTGGACTGCGCTTTCCAAGTGAGAGACTTGACAGCATTGCCTGTTGGATCAGTGGTTTTTGGTGTGCATACCGTGCACTTCACCCTGTACTAACGCCACTTTTGTCGCACTCGTCGCGAACGGATGTGAGAACACTTGGGAAAGTATTGCCTACCAAGATTGTGACAGGATAACGTTTTGCTCAAAGGGGTTGGCTCATTTCCCTCTGAGACCTTCTCACTCAGGAGCTAGGCAGTATACTCGTTCCTTTGGCCAACAATCGTTGCTCTGCATCCTACGGGACTAAATGCCATCCACCATTCTCAAGAAGTCAAGGAAGTGACCTAGGGACAGATTGTGACATTTCATAGTTCGAATGGCTTTTTCTGTAAGGTTGGGAGTGCCGAACACTTCTGAGCAGCTAAACTATTTACCACAATGACCCCACCTTACAGTATTGACGCCGTATGACGCGTTGTCTTTGTTTCCTTTCATTTTCTTTGTTTGGCTGAGACTGGGAATTCATTTATTCATTGAACTTATTGTATAAAACTTGTTCTCTTTGGAAACGAGGTGCTGTGCAAAGTGAAAGAAGAGCCCGATCTGTTGGAATTGGCGGGGAAGACTGATGGTTTGTTTTTCAGAATATTATGCTATGCTGTAATTGCTATCAAGAGTATCGCTGCCAAAGACAAGCTTGCCAATTATCTGGTAAGTAAGGCTTTAGATTTATTTCGCCTTTAGTTTTATTATTAAGAACATTTTAATTGGGTTATCAGATGAACAATGGTTTTGATGATATGTTGTTCGTTGAAGATCTTCGTGACCATCCTATTGTGAAGGTTTGTTCTGCATGGTATGGTATTTGATCGTATTGTCAGTAGATAAGCTTCATTTAGTCAGCATTTCCCGAAATCACTTCTGAGCAACTGCAACTGCATGAGCAGCAATCCACGTCGCAAGATCCCGCAGCGTTCAGTGAGTTTTTTTTCCTCGAGCTGGCTTTAGACTTCCAGTATGCTTCTCTTCTTCATAACGCTTCTGCTCCCTTTCATTTTTACATTTTATTTTATTATTTTACATTTACATTTTTTCGTTATCAAAGTATGACTGATTAAGTAACACTTTCAAACGATTTATTATTTTCTTTACTTCATTTCATTATTTATTTCTTTATTTTTCATAGGTGGTTAAACTGAAGGGATGGGGGCATAACTCTGAGGAGCTAGGTGTGACGGAGCCTTCCGAAAATGGTGTTCTTGAGGGTTGCTGTACCGGGAGCATGGTAGGAGGGGGTCACTTGCCACTACATCACATTGACGGATTAATCCTTCCTTCATTAACAAGAACGGTGGACAGCCACAGCACTGTTCATTCTCAGTGCTCTGGCTGTCCACCGTTCTTGGTAATGAAGGAAGGATTAATCCGTGCAGGTGATGTAGTGGCAAGTGACACCTCTTACCATGCTCCCGATCTGAGGATCAAATCGGCGCGTAAGCCAAGCAAGCCTTGCTTTCCTTTGTAGCCTTCAAATTGGTACCAGACGCGACGGAAAATAACGGCGCGAGTTGTGAATTACAAATCGCCTGGCCCCCACAAGTCATTATAAGGGGCCGCACTTGCATTCAAGCCGTAGTGAACTTGTATTGAAGCAGGATAAGTAAGCATCTTACAGGGACTGATTTTAGCAGGCGGTGTCACGAATTTCATTTGAAGCGTGGAGAGTTTGTGTTTTCAGATTCTTCTGATGATGTTCTTGAAAGACCGTATATCAAAGAAGAGCATGAGGACTGTGAGGAGATATCTGCAGTTCAGCTCATTGGTGACTTGTTCGCAAATTCAACGACGCCATCGACAAGTTACTCAGACAATGCACCAGGTACTGATTTTATTTTTTTTTGACTTTTTGTTCCTTTTGTTCCATAAATCTTGAAGAATTTTTCTCATCAAATGTTCTTGCACTTCTTATCCTTACTGGCCTCCTCTCGGACATTCGAGCTAGATATTTACCGAAGTTTCCCCTGCTTACCGGGACTTTCCCCTGGTGTGGATTTCGCTGGAATTCTGTCCTCAAGGGCAGTTTACATCCTGAACACGAATATCGAATCCGCTTGAAGCCAATATGCCTTACGCCCGGCGCTCAAACATTCAACGCATCAAGTTTGCTCAAAACCTGTCCCATGGGCTTCCTTGGCCTCCCTGGTGCGCACACATCCGCAACATCCTTGGTGCGCCTGATTTGATTCTAGCAAAGTTAGTGAGTGTAGTTACATTTATGGAGACAAGCTGTTTATTGGCAAAGGAATAGTGACGGCAAACACCTTGAACAGAGGCGCAAAGGTAGGAATGATATGGAGGATCGAAGGGAGAGAACGTGAAGAGGCGACCGGTTTCGCGGCACCCTCGGCACTATCCAAAAATTAATCTCTCTAAAGCACAGTACTGGTTACCAGTTCGAGGTCCACTCATGTTAAGTAGAGCCAAGGAGCACAAAATTCATCTGACCCTGAGCAAATCGCGCCCCATGCTTTCTACTATGTCGACCCAACACATCCGTTTGGCCCGAAAACGGGCTCTACGAGCGCCCCAGCCAAACGGGCTCCAAGCGCCGGTGCTTGCGGCGCCAACGGCAGGCGTTCTGACTTCGAGCGAATGTACTCTTGTAGTCAGGGGCGTCAATATTCTCCCCCCCTCTAGCCCCCCCCCACTGAGGCACAAAATTAGTGTAAAATTTGCCTTTGGAAAAATTTTCGTCAG